GGGGGATTCAAACTGCTGGCCTTTAGTTAGGCAGAGCAACTCCTTACCAGAAAGCCGTCACGGTTCCGCTCACACAAATGACTAGCATGAATTAATTATCGTGCCTGAGATCAGTTATAGATTGGATCCCTAGTACCCTTTCCCTCACCCAAAACTTATCAATGGAATACTTTTGACTCGCCTTACCCTCCCTTTTTCCATGCCTGGAACTGACCGTCCAGCAGGTTTTCAGGGTCAGTTAATCCCATGAGAGGAGACTGTCCAGGTTCTGGCCACAGAGGAGCTTGACGGATGTGCATCTCCAGAGAGATACAACTTGTTATGATCTCCAGAACAAGAGTTTCCCCCCTTGCCCTGTCTAAAAGGAATCCTATCCGTGTGTAAAACCTTCAGTGGAAACACTTGAAAAGTCAGTTCTGGGCCCTCCGTGGTCCCATCTTTCACATACCTGTCCTGGGGCACCTGTCCGCCTCCCAGCTGGACCACAGTGGGGAAGACATCCATCAGGCTGGTGGGCTCATCGACCACCCGGCCAGCGGGCAGCACTCCAGGCCAGCGGAAGATGCCGGGCACTCGGATGCCTCCTTCCCATCCACCCATGCCTTTGCCTCCTGTACATAAACACCATGAAACATTAGAAATTGGCACGGAAACGGCCTATGTGTAGACACACACGTGACAGGTGTGTGCAGACAGTGATGTGCTGTTGGTGTTTGAGGGCATCGAGTTGACTGTGAACCGTAGAGCTGACCCCTGTCCTGTCCTGGGCCATCCACACCCTCTCTGACACGCTCCAGACCACAGCTGTGGTCACTGTGTCCATTAATTGCATGGTCTGTGTCAACATGCACAACACACATGCTCCCATGTGATTCCTACATGCAGGCCTCATTGGATGACGTTGTCTGAGATGCTGTCTTTCCCCCCCACCCCTTTGCACTTTGAAGGTTTCTGTGGGCATGAGGTGACCCCGCCACGTAATTCCAACCCTCTGCATTCCCTCCGTCTCTCTGAATTCCAAATTCACCCTTTTCTCAAGAAGCTTGACTTGATCACCATGTCCTTGACATACCTTCATAAATACAGAGCAAAGAGTGACCGATAGATGCTTGTTTGGAGGGGTCGTCGAGTAAAATAGGACTCAAAGTCACCTTAGGAACGACAGATCTTGAGCCCTGACCTGTCCGGCAGGTGCCTCAACATCCCTGGCCCACCGGAGCCCGTTGCTGCAGACACTGTGTCAATGCATCTGGTTGAGGGTCTTTCTCTCCTTCATCAACCCTCTACCTTTCCAGCCACGGTGACCCTCACCAAGGAATACCCTCTCCAAGGAAGACCTTTCTCCTAGAAACCTGCTTAGAGTATCGGAGATGAACTTGCTCAGCTTTGCCTCCGCGGACACCTCTGGCCGCACTTTCTCCTGGACATCTTGGCCGTCCACGGCATCTTCAGCCCTCTCCCCCAGCCCCACAGCTCAAAAAAAGCATCCCTCGTCCTTCCGTCCTCC